AAAAAAAAAAGAAATCAGGAAGGGGGCAAACACTTTTTCACACCACTGTAACATGTTCCAAAGGAATCGACCAACGTGATGCATAAGAGCAGAACAGGAAACCATCTTATAACAGAAACAATATGAATTAAAGATAATTCAGTTGTGATCATTCTCTGTCAGAATGTTAGCTCCCTTGAGCAGCCGTTTTAATCGCTAATAAAAGGGAGCGTTATAATTTCTACTAAAAAAATAGCCCGAGCAAGTAACATTTACATCTAGACTGCCCTGAAAAAAACGCCCGAGTCAAATCGAATTACACTTTTCACAGGTTAGTTTAAAGGTATGAAAAAGGGACGTAAATGAAATTTTTGTTGAAAATCTACTACTCCTCTACGTTATGTGCGCAGTCCCAAAAGGAAGTAATTTAAGACTTAATCCATTGAATACGTATTAAGAATCACGCAGATGATACGTTTTCCAAGAAAAATCTCTACTTCTGTATTGAGTCTCCCTCCCGCGCGACACACACAGTCTCTTGGCCGCAGTCCCGGCCCATCTGCAGCCTGGCTCGCGGATTACTGTTTGTTAATGTTTCAATCAGCTGTGTGCTCAGGAATGTGGAGCTATTTAACCTGAACTTCCCCAGGTGTGGCGAGGCGCCGCTCAGTCTGGGCCCGCCTGCCCTTCCCTGCCCTTGGCACAATGCTATCACACAAACACAATCACACACTGGCTTTGCACTTAAACATTACTGCAGCAGCTGTGTGCATCGCACAGCAGGAGAATTGGAACAGCATTGCACAAGGGAGATAAAGTAAATCTTTCAATGAATTGCCGTTATTTTAACTAACAGATTAACCATTACTCGACCAAAACAAGGCGTTTAATTCTCCACTGTTCTCAGAGGAAAACATAGGTTCTCCGCTCTCATAATGCTTGTGCTATTATTAATGGGAAGCCGGCTGTGTTTTAAAATCTAGTGTCTTGTTCTGACTCGTAGAAAAACACATAACATCAGTTTAAGAAATGTTTATTTGTGAACTTCCTAACACAGTCAAAAACTCGTTAATCCGTTTTATTGATGGCAAAATAATGCATTTAAAATCAGACTTGTAATTCATTACTAAAATATAGCACGGCAGAAATATTTAAAAACTGAGGGATATGCGTTTTGCCAGCTATGCAATTCAGTAAAGAACTTTGAAAGGGTGCTAAACAGGTGGTAAATGTTCATGTTCATAAATGCAAGGCATCTATGAGAAATTAAAAACAAATCTATAAGAAATTAAAAAAAAACCCTGGGCGGCACAGATCCTCATCTACCAGAACTGTTTTCATTTTTAATCTTAATCTCAATTAAAACTCACAGATTCAGGACACTACGAGGACCTTTCATCTTGCTATACTTTGCCTCTGGCTTTATTTGGCTGAGGGCTTTACCCAAGGTAAGGTACAAGGTCTTGGTGATCGTCTAACTGATCTGTAGTGCGCCAGTGTTTCACAGCACTTCTTTCCAGCCACAAAAGCAGCCCTTTAAAAGACCAAAAAAAACATTTCGTAAATTGAGCTATCATTGTTTTAAAAGAAATATAAGAAATTGACTTTAGTTTGTTAAATACACCCATTTCCAGTAGCATTATTCAGCCACGAACAGTAAACTTGACTATAGAAAATACTTTCTCTCGCGCCCTCTTGTGGGAAGGTCGGTCAGTTGCATGTTTGCTGTCCTTTTCGTACGTATAAGCACTTCGGCAAATACTTCATTTTAATCAACGTAAGATGCATGTATTTCAAAAGCACGGCGCTTGTTAGCATCATTGCGTAGTATAATGTCACTTTATTTTGAATACTGAAATAATGAAGAATGATAATGAAGTTTCAATCAGCATACATCTATCTATAGCCAGCAGCTACATCATAACTGGCAACCCAATGTAGCCCAACAGATGTGAGCCTGGCTAATACCAGGATGAGAGACCTCCTGGGAAGGCTAAGGTTAGATATGTTAGTAGGACCAGTAGGGGGTGCTCATCCTGTGGTCTGTGTAGGTCTTAATGCTCCAGTATAGTGATGGGGACACTGAATCATCCAGGTGGATGCTGCACATTGGTGGTGGTGGAGGGGAGTCCCAGTTGCCTGTAAAGCACTTTGAGTAGTGTCCAGGAAAGCACTATATACAGTAAGTGTATGATTCTTTTTATTTTATATATGTTACAGATGTGACATGTTCCAAGTTTAGGTGTAGTAGCAAATATAGTATAGTTTGAAGACAACACTATGCATTTCCATTTATAAATTAATTGCTTAAAACAAATTAGGAAGTACCCAACATTTTGAGATTTAAGCTTTTAAAAAACATTAAGGTACAATTTACAGCATATTTGAAGATGTGTCATAAAAAGTTGGTACCATCAAAAATTCATTATGGCTAGATGCCCTTTTGTAGCTACACCGAGCTCAAAACCTTTCCCATTATTAAACTCATAAGACATGCACCTGTTTTTTTTTTTTAATTGAACAAACGTTTTAGTAGTTTAACAAAACAAAAAGAACTAGAAGAGGCCAGAAGAGGTCAATAAATGTCGCAAATATATTTAACATAAAACACAAAGGTGTTTTCTCAATTTATTAAACTGTCTTCAAAAAGAGAACATTCAATAAATAAGTCAGTTAAAAGAGTGATACAAATAGACCAAGAAAAAGTAAAACAAAGAATGAGCCTTTAATATTCCTGAATTTATGGTTCGTTATGCTAACAGTCACATGGGCTGTATCCTTGTAGGTTTGGTCAAACGTTCAGTTAAAGATGACATTAACAGATTTTTCCAACGACTAATCCATATGCATCCACCCATTTTCACATCACTTGGTCCAGTTTAAGGCTGTGAGGAAGCCAGAGCCTATCCTGGCAAGCAACAGGCGCAAGGCAGGGAACTCAGTCACAGGGCACACACAGACACACACACACTCGCACCAGTGCCAGTTCTCCCAGAAGCTAGTTAACCCACCAGTATGTCTTTGAACTGTGGGAAGAAAACTGGAGCACCCAGGGGAAACCTACAGTAACAGAGGGAGATACACATAGGGCCCCAGCGCTGCAAGGCAGCAATGCTTACCATTATGCCATCGTGCCACTCTAAAGCATGTACAGTAAAATACTATTATACAATATGATTCTAACTGTCCTTTTGATACTGAATTTCAGCTTTGGAATGGACAAGCCTGAATAGTCTTGCTTCTACCACAAATCACTCATAGTAGTGAAGTAAATTCAATGTAATTTTTTTGTTAAAGAGAAAGAGAAGACAGTGATCAGAACAGATTAGAAATGTCTGGTATATCTAAACCTGAATTATTTATACATACTGAGGCCAAACTAGGATTTATTTGTGTAGTGACAGGCCTTCATATTTTCTGTTGTCAATTTTTTTGCCAACATCAAACATTCAACGCCACATGCCTTTAGATAAACAGCGGTGTGTTGCAATGCCAGGCTCTCACTTTACTACAGTTTCATAATTAAAAATTATTTTAGAAAAAAAAAGCATCTTCCAAAACTTTCCATAGAAAGAAAAGTAAAACTCTTGCAGTCAAACTGGAGCCACAATAGGACATAATGTTAAATAACATTTATTGAACCTTTTGCTTAATTGTGTTGGTTTTGATAATCTGAATGGAAAACAAAATAAACAATGACATTTTTACCAAACCAGTGAAATCCAGACAATCACAAAAGTTCACTTGCCACTCACTTCAGATCTATTTATGATTTCTGCAATATCTCCCCTTTAGTTTAACAAATCATCATAATGTGCAGACAGAATATTTACTAGGTGGCAGTGAGTTGCTGGACCCATAACAGTAGAGCATTTGATCATACCTCTACATTTTTGCATTTGTAACTTAAGGCTGGACATGCACTGCTTTGTACAAAGGACAGGTTCATGTCAAACAAAATAAAAAACACCTTACATGGAGCATCAGGTCCTTTCTGGTCTTTTCCAGTGACATCCACAAGAGGGATCAGCAATCCACATTATAACCTACCCATTCCTGACATCACCGTGACAATGTTTAAAATCCAGCACATTAACAAGATAATGGTTTCCTTGGATCGCATGGAAATAAAGGCCAGCCAATACTATACTCTACACCAGATCTTCTTCTGCAGCTCAGCCTTAGAAACCTGTCTACATGCTCAACAGAGTACAGTTCTAGCCAACTAACTGCTGCTGCCCTACACATTTCGATGAACACACGACATCACTTTTTGTCCCAGGCTTCACCGAACTGTTTAGAGTACATGTGCTCACAATCCGTTTGCGCCTCGTCACCACGGCACCTGGGTGCCCCCTCCCTCCCCACCCCCGGCTACGTCCGGCGCCGCTTGGCCCCGCTGGGGCTGGAGGGGTTACTGTTGGCGTTCAGCACTTTCTCAGTCACTCGGTTCCTCTTCCTCTTCTCTGCAGCCTCCTTCGATGTGCTCTCACCTGAACCCTTCTCTTTGTCTTTCTCCTTGTCTTTGCTGTTGGCCCTTTCTGCCATCTTCACAGAGGAGTTGCTGCCTGCAAGGGAAGAAATCGGGCAATTCAGGAAAACAGTTCCCATTTCCAGATTTTCTTCCCCCAATCACAGTGCTCTTTGCCCTTGAGGCTTCAAAGACAACTGCAGAACTCGGAATCGATTGCTTATACAGTACACTGGACATTTTGTAAAGCAACAATTGCAATCAGATGTTCTGCGTCAATATCTGAAACAAAAAAAGAACTTTAAAACAAAGAATAAGATCAGGACAACAAAAGGTGTGCCTTTTGATGGACATTTTAGGAAAGGTGTACTCAAATACCAGATCTTCCCATCCACTGCAGTAAGACTCTTTGGTGAAACAAGTACATTCATTACATATTTATAAGTTAAACAAATTAAACAGCTGCTGATGAAAAACCCCTGCAGCTGGATGTCCTGGAAGGTCCAGTATGCATGTACCAGAACCATGGTAGGGCATAGAAATCCACAGAATCTAAAGGGATGACGATCATTCATTTAACCTGTTAACCCTACAGGAGATCAAAAAGAAAAAAAACAAAACAAATTCTGCTAATGGCACTGTTTGCTGTCCCAACCAACCAAATGTTTTTGAAAGGAAATTGTTTATTTGCTAGAACATGCAGAACTATTCTGTTTGGTAAAAATGCCCCTGATGTGAAGTGTATAATTTCCCTTGGTTGCTTTCCTCCTTTTTCACTGCACAAAGGAAGGACAAGCAGGACTAGGAGCATACAGAAAAAAAGTATATGCTTCGGCTGTCATATTCCCCAGATTCTTTACATTACTTTTTATCATCCTGAACTCTTAAAATACACTGAAACCTGAGTTCCCGACACAGAGTTTTTCTGGAGAACCACGCACAAATGAAATCAATCAACAGATGACATTGCACATCCATCCCCAAGACATGCTTTTAATGTCCTCTCAATATATAAATAAGGATTTGCCTGTTTCAAAGGGAGAAATCCATGATGTTTGTACACCTTGTGGTAACTGAAACAATTCAACGGCCATGTGATATGAGTTGGTCTCTAGTGAGGTCATATTGGATTGTTGGAACAGAGTGAAAGCATTCTTCTGTCCATACCTCTCACAATCCTGGCCAGCCAAAGTGGGTCTCAGACCTTAAAAATGAGAGATAAATGACCAGAATGAGGGACACCAGTTTCTGTCAGCAGAAGGTGCCAAAGTGCTGCAATAGCACAGCCAACATCTAACTAGAAAATGAAAACAAGCCAACCAAATAAACATATTAAGCAAGAACCTTCTTCCATGGTTGCAGGTGGGTCTCGTTCTTCTTTGATTTCATCCTTGACTTCTTCTTCGACCACCAGTTTTCCTGCATGCCAGCAAAGAACTAAACTTAGAACATATTCTAGTAATGAACAGAAATGATATGTTTTCACTCATGGCATAATATTTTTCAGATTGTATGACACTGCAGAAAGTGCTAGAGACAAACGTCTCATCAACTACAAAAAAATGAAAATGTCTACTAACATTTAAATATGACTAAAGAAGCAATCAATATTTACAAATCAGGAATGTCAAGGATTGTTGTGAACAATCAGTCAGGAATGTTTTTGTAGTGAGGCGTGAGTCGGTCTTACCTTCTTTGACTTCTTGAATAATTTCCTCTGGCAGAACAAAACTTTTTTCAGAGTTTGGGAAAGGCAAGATTTCGGATTCATGCTGCAGACAACAGAAACAAAAAGTTACAACATTTATATTATATTTAATAATTAATATATTTGAATATTTTAAGTTTCAATATTTAATATATACAATAATACATATTTCTACAGTCTTAATAGGACAAGAGGAAAACTTTTAGTTTGAGTAAACTGAGAATCTATCTTTCACACTGCTGCAGACATGGACACAATTGCTGCATACATTATTTCCAGCTAGTAGCACCTAAAACACCTTTTTATGTTTATATTAGCTCTTAGTCATTGTAGTAAAAATGATCTAATCTTAGCAACACATTAAACATAATATCTGCTTATCTACTTAAGGGTTTCGGGAGGAGCTGGAGCCTAACCCCACATACAATGAGCTCAAGGCGAAATACACCCTGGATGAGATAGCAGTCCATCACAGGGCATACAAAGCAGACACAGAAGCAAACACCCACAAACTGACTACACAGGCAATTTCAGTAGTGCCACAAATAAACAGGATGCAACTACCAATAACCACTGCATACTAACCAGAGCTTGCATGTCGTACATTGTCCCCAGATGATCCCAAATCACTTTCGAGGAAACCTGCCGTCCAATATTCTGGCTAAATTTATCCCGAATGCAGATCATGTGGAAATGACGATTAACTCCTAAGACAAAAGACATTTATACACACACAACAAAATGGTAAGGTTTAAATAAGAATTAAAACCCTTAAACACAATCCCACATTGGACGAGACTGGTCCTTTTTTAACATTAATAGGTTTTACTTTACAGCCCTGGTCAGTAACCTTGTAGTCCACACCATCTCTTGGTTTGCCCTAAGAGAGAGGACGCAACCCAATGCTACAGACTAGATATTCTTGTTGGCCCCTGTAGGTCTGCTGCACCCACCTTTTCATGATTCAGAATTTGATCAGTCAGCCCTGGGAGGAGGCAGGTGATGAGTGAATGAAAATCTGCTCAAGCGCCCTACCTCCACAAGTGGCAGCTGTTTTGAGCGGAAAAGCTGCTTATGGACAACT